GGAGGAATCTGTTAAACATCTGGAAGGAGAGTTATTAGTCACTGCAATGAGCACACTTGAATTGAGTGTTATTTCGACGAAGATATTTTACACTCACTCTGTGACCCAAACAATGAGTAGAAAAGCACAAAACACAAACATCCTAGAATTTTGCAATTCTTAAGGGCTGTTTTACGTGCCACGGATAAAGATGATGACGCTATTTAAGGGTGTGATTTTATAAGCAAGGGACGACAGCACCTTGCACACTGTGTGTCACGGCCCGTCTCCCTCCCGGTCACTCGCACCTGTTCCCCTCTTGGAGCTGAAGGAGGCTCAGGTAGGCAAAGCCACCTTAACGCTCAAGATCATCTCCCTTCCAGGTCACACTCAGAAGCGCTGCCCCAAAGTCAAAGGGGTTGTAACGGCCGCTCTACCCCAGTCTCCAGACCCCTTGGGAAGAGCCCCCACCCTCACACACGTGACGCCACCACCACTACGGTCTCCAGATCTTGGTACAACCGTCACTATCGGATGCTGATTGATGCACCCTTAAAAAAAGAGAAGAGATGCCAGTTCACACGACCAAGTACCAGCATCAAGTCTAAAGTACTGAGCCTTTAGCTCCTCACTTCCGCCTCAAGAGGACCATTACAGAATCACATTCCTTCCAACATGCTATGTCGGCTGTCTCCTGCGTACAGATGTGAAAGGAAGAATTTTTCTCTCTGATTCCTAATGTCCTGCAGTTACTTGGGCTATGACATTCAAGTGTTCTGCGGAACGGCCTATGAATCCAGCAGTGCCCAGAAGAAAGCACAGCCACAGAGTTTTCAGTCTCCCTCCTGTGCTGCTGTACATCTTAGATGTAAACTGTCACTTGAGTCTCCTATGAAAAGCACTCTCAGATTTATTTGCTTTTTAATATTACGAGAGTGCAACAGAAATTGGTTTGGCACCTTGTACTCAGTTCTCATGAAGTTAGACTTCAAGGGGTTGAATGCTCTTAGAAAATAGTTATGCAGATTAAATGTTTCTAAAATAACGTCATGGGATAAGTAAGACAATGGGCTATAATTTTGTGCTTCAGTAATGGTTTCTGGTGCTCTTGTCTCAAGATATTTTTTTCTTTGGCATAGTACTCAGATATGGTTTTTGAAAATAAAATTACCAAGAATGTTCTCTTCTTCCGTTCTCTGTTTCTGCTTAATTGTGCTAATAGACTAGCTAGGGCAGTTAAATTTTAAATGGCATGTGTATATTTAGCAGTATAATTATGCAAATTCTACCATGTTTACGACTGTCAATATCCTTTGGGAACAGTTTCTTAGCATCTAGTCCTGAAACAATTTTTGAAGGATTCTGGTTGAAATGCTCAGATTTCACTCTTGAATTTACTTCGCTGGTGGGAAGGAGAGGCTCAGAGATCTCAGTCACTGAGCAAAATAATTCACCCTGGGGGAAAAAGTACAGATTCTGCAGTTGACCCGGATATGCAATGCCACATACTGGCCTTGTGACCTTGGTCAAACTACGGACCTCTCTGAGCCTCAGTTTCTGCCTTTGTGAAGTAGGGACGGAGCTGGGAGGTCTCTCAAGGCTGTCAGGACAAGGACTGCAGGATGTACAGAAACTACTTAACACAGGGCTCGGTTCGGGAGAGGCTCCCAAGCAACAGCGGCTGGCAGCAACGAGCACGTGACACTGGTGGGCTGCCCTTCAGTCCAGCCACTGACGTCCAGGAGAGCTCAGCGCCATGGTCAGGTCAGGACAGCAGTTGTGGGGGCAGCACAAGTCCCACACTTCCTACTCTGCCTGCGTTCTCCCCTGTCCAGGTAACACGGGAAAGCAGGGGGTGGGGGCTGAGAGCAAGCTGAATTCTCTCTCTCTCTCTTCTTCTTCTTTTTGTTTTTGGTACCAGGGATCAAACTCCGAACCTTGTGCTTGAGAGGCAGACAGCAGAACCACTGAGCTAAATCCCTGGCCCAGCAAGCTGAATTCTTTCCACACAGACTCACTGTTGGTTTCGTTATGGGACCGGGCTTAGCTGAGGTGGGGCTTAAGTCTTTCAGAACAGCAGTTCTAAGTGTACAGGATATATGTGCATCTGCGGCGTACAAGTGTATGTTGGCATTGTGTGCCTGTATGGTATATATTTGTATATGTCCGTGAGTCTGTGTTTGTGTAATGTACATGTGTGAATCTGTGCAGTGTGGGGTGTGCATATGAGTGCTGTGTGTGTGTGTACATGTGTGTGTGGCATGTGTATGGTGTGTATCTGTGTAGGGCCACAGGAGGATAGACCCCAGCCACCTATATCCCCACAAGCCTTTAATTCCTCCTGCTGGGCTTAAGCTGATTAACAGGTGCGGAGTCACCAGGCTAGATGTGTGAAACGAAATTCTTCCTTTGCTGTTTCACATTTTAGGGAAGGAAAAATGGAAAATTATATTTCTAATTACAGGACATCACACGTCAGAATATGACGATGGTAATGACAGCGTATTTGAGGTGAGCAGTAGTTTTTTTAGTCAACTTCTAACGTATTTTTATTCTAGATATACCATAATTTGGATTTTCTAATGTAGCTCTCTAACATTTCAAAAAAATCCATAGGATTTTCTGAGATTTGGTAAAACAAAGTCTGTGAGGTTGGCAAATCTGTTTTAAAAAGGGAATGAGGCCCTACAAGAGGACTGAGGGGAGTTTGGTGTGGTGGTGCACACCTGTACTCCCAGCACCCTGGGAGGCTGAGGCAGGAGGATCGAAAGTCGGAGCTTAGCCCGAGCAACTTAGCCTCTTATGATACCCTGTCTCAAAATAAACAACAGAAAGTTCTGGGGATGAAACTCAGTAGACACCCTAGGTCCAACTCCAGGACCGCAAAGGAAATGAATAAATGAATTAAAAAAAAATGAAAGAAATGGAGCTGTACTGAAACCTCCCTCCTGCGGGACTTGGCAGGGAGCCATGTGGGGAACCGCACACAGCCCCTCCCTCCCACCACCCCCTGTGCAAAGAGGGCTCACATGCAAGGATGCACGGTGACCACATGGTCACCCGCCGGGAGCTGGGAAGAGACGGACACCCCTTCTGGCTGAAGTTTTCCCGGACCCAGTGTGCCACGGCTGTGGGTGTCACGCTGTCATCCTCTGCTGCACAGGGGACGTCAGCGTGGCGGGGTGGGGGCAGATGGGAGATACTGGGGCCGATGGGTGATGGATTCTGGCCTTCAACTTTCCACCTGGGAGATGGACTCTTTGTATTCTTTCCTGGTCTGATTTTTTTGTTTTAAGAGAGGGTCTTGGTGTGTTATCCAGGCTGGCCTCGAACTGCTGCAATCCTCGAGCCTCAGCCTCCCGAATGCTGGGATTGCAAGATAAAATCGTTACGGCTCTACATCCCACCCTGTCAGCTGTACACCATTTCTCCTGCATCTTGGGCCCTCTGCTGGGGACTCGTTTATAACTCTTTCTGTGAAGCATGCAGCACAAGCTCCCACATCTGTGGAGCCCCTCAGTGGATTCCTCTCTGGGGTGATAATGGTCTCTCTCACTGAGCCACTACGAGGGTGCATCTCAAACCCCTTAGTTGTCCATGGTTAGGAGAAAAGCACTTTTCTCTAATTCTCAGAATTTCCCCTTCTAGCCAGGGACAGTGCCACATGCCCACAATCCCAGCTACTCAGGAGGCTGAGACAGAAGGAGTTCAAGTTTGAGGCCAAACAGGGCAACTTAGTACTCAGCATGACCCTGTCTCAAAAAAAAAAAAAAAAAAAAAAAAAAAAAAAAAACTCCCTCGGTTCATTCCTCAGTACAGCAAGGAAACAACAACAACAACAACAACAACAACAACAACAACAACAAAGACCCACTAAGGACTTTGGAGAGAAGAAATATTATTTTCCAATCCTTAATTTTTCCCCATTCTTCATAATCAAATCAGCATTTAACTGCTCTCCTAGCTGAGTGAGTTCGAATTTGCTGTTGCATTCATGATCCCTTAAATGTTCATGTCCATTCTTGTTCTGTTCTCCTGAAATCTGCCTGCTGTGAGATCCCTCCTGACTGAACAGCTAAGGAGGGCCGGCCTCTTGTGACCGAGTCCCACCGGCGGGCAGGGCTCCCTCGCTTGTGCGGGAGACCAGCAAGGTGAGCACACACTCCTGCGGCAAGTCTGGCCGCCTTTTCCTGAGTGACACAATCCGAGGAAATGCAAGCCGAATTTCCAAGGTTCTGAGTAGCTGAATATCTGATTCGTTTCTTTATGTCCCTTCTGAATTCATATGTGGCATCAGGTAAGACGCTTACCCTCTTTGGGTTTCAAGTTCTTGAACTACATACTATCACGACAACTATGGCGCTGACTTCCTTTCAACCAACTCAGGGTAGAGAAATTCCTTCTATCGAATTTTGCTTTTCTGTTACTACTGTATGAATTTTTGGAGTGTTTTCAAAATATAGAAGGAAAGTTCAGGATGGAAAGTTAAAAACACATATATATTAAAGAAGAACTTTAAATACCCACTGTCTTGTTTACTGGGATATTTTTGTGGGCTTCAGCACCACTCCCGAGAGAGGGTCATGTTGGAACCATTCTATGCGCACGCAGATTCACATGCTATGGTTCGAGAGCACAGGCCTTGACACTTTCTTCCCGGTTCCCTGAACCAGAAGAGAAAACAGAACTACGTTCTACAGACAGAAATACCAACTGCGCTCCCAAATAGTTTAACCGCTCACTCCTTATTTTCTGAGGCAGGTCAGTTGCCGCAAGCTCTGGATCTGCTTGTCCAGAGGTTCTGCTAGCCACGGTTTTCCTCCGAATGATTCAGAGTCACGTTAAGGACTCCACTCTTGGGACCCCGGAGCAGTGCTTGTGAGCGTGCTTGCCTGTCCCCTTAGTGCGGCTGCTGGTCTGCCTCCCGTGGCCACCGACTCAGACCCTCTTCCCAGAAAGGGAGCCCTCTGCAACCCCCTGGGCAGAGGCCGGGGCTGGACACCTACTCTTCCACGGCTTACCTGGTCTCTCTGTCTTTGGGGATCGTAGCAGTGCTGTATGCAAAAACTTGCTTCTCCACTAGCGGAGGGCCCAGGTCCACGGCACCAGACAGTCCCGGAGTGCTGCGCGGCTTTTCGACGTACACCAGGGTGCCCGGCTCCTTTCGGAAGGACTGGCGGCTGGGCGAGGCCCGGTCGGGCTGCAGGGTATGCGAGGGCCCGTGGGCACCGTGATGGGGGTGCAGGTCCAGCATTCGCAGGTCGCCCATGCGGTGAGGAGACGCGGGGGGCGTTTTGGAGCCCAGCGTGGGCAGGTGGCTGTCGGGGTACTTCCTGGCCTTCTGCCTGTACAGAGACTGCTCCATGTGCACTTCCGCTTGCAAAGTGGGGTTACCGTAAGCGCTCGCGGACCTGACGGCTGTGCGGTGATAAGCGATGATGTGTTCGGGGACGTCCAGCGGGTGCCCGCCGTGGGACGAGGCTATGCTCATCCGTCCCTCGTGGTACAGGTAGGGGTCTGCGAAGAAGCCCTCGTTTCTGTACATTGCCAGGTTCCTGCCACTCAGGTCCTCGTCTGGCTTGACGTCTCTTCTTTCTAAAATGGCGCTAGGACTGGGCGAGATGGACCTGGACACGGGCAGGCTGGAGAGTCTGTCCCTGGGGATGGTGGCATTGCCGGGGACCACCACGGGGCGGGTGCCCCCATATGGAATTCGGGACGGGGACGGAGGCATGGAGTGGAGCACAGGAGTGGGCGGTGGGGAGTTTGGGATGGCGCCAGGGCCGTCTCCTCTCGCATAGACAATCTCCCTCTGCATCTGTTAAGAGAGAAAGCACGGGGTTAGGAAGTCCACTCTGAGAGGCCCAGCCGCAGAGAAGCCTGAGGGTCAGTGCGACTCTCCTGAGCTGGCAGTCTGAACACTGCCCCTCTCCTGCCTTCACCCCCAGTCCTGGAGCCCAGGACCGCGCCCCTCGGGGGCAGAAGGGTCTTTACCCCAGCGGTCATGTGAAAGAAATGAGAGGCTGGGAGGCAGGCGGAGTTGTCCAGTCGCCTGGGTCTTCCTCAGTGTCAGAGGGGCAGGAGGTGGGGGCACAGAAGCAGGCAGAGACGGGCGGGAGCAGAGGGTGCTCTGCTGCCAGCCTCCAGACAGAGGGATGAGGGCGGGAAGTTAAAGACACGGTCTCCAGGGCCTCCAGAGAAAGTACACGCCTGCTCACAGGGTCATATTGGCCCAGGAAACTCTTTCTGCAAGTCTGACTCCTGTAAGATAAAAATGCAATAATTCCATGGTGTTTCAAGCCAGGTTTTAGGGGGTACTGGTGACAGACGAACCCAAGACCTCACATATTCGATGGAACCTCTTCACCTCTCATCTATTCCTGCAGCCCTGGCCCTAAATTCGCAGTAATTTGTTCTGGCAACCACAGACAATGCACACACCTAACGTAGAGCTCAATGGTGCAGGGTCTGAGGACAGAACGATGCAGTGGTTTAAATTCTGAAGTCACAGCCTCTCCAGGACACCCGAAAAACACGGTCTAACATGTCAATAGTGCTACAATGACGTTTTCCACAACTTCTTCCTGGCACTTCTTTCTAGTGCGAGTCCTAGGGAATAGTAATAATATATTTTCCATTGTTCTAAGCTAATCCAGTCTAGGGACAGGGTCCGAGAGGCAAAGGGGACGCCTGGCGGAAACACGGAGGGAGGGTCCGTTCATGCACTGAATCTGGGAGTCTATGAGAAACCCGTACAGAGGGGTCAGCAGACAATGACCCAGGAGGTGATAGAGAGTAGAGGCCCTCCCATCATGGACAGGGCAGCAGGGAGGGGAAAGCCAGGCGTGGCAGGAAGAATCCTGCAGCTCTGGCCCTGGCGAGCCGGGAGCCCACACTTCCAGGCCACGTCCTTCCCACCCAGGTCAGGGGAAGCGAGAATTCCCACAGGGTCTTCTACCAACTCCCCTTTAGGAGAAACAGTAACTGAAGAATCCAGTTAAAGAGGAAACAAATCTGTAATTTGCAACTACATTATGTGCTCAGCAAGCACCAGAACAAAAAATATAAATGAGTCCAGGCGGGGACCCCAAAGGGGAGGACAAGCTGAGATTCTCCAAGGGGCTGAGGGTTGTGACAGTTGCGGCGCTGGCTTTAAGTCCTGCTTGTGCCGTACGATTCCCTATCCTGGATTCCAGGGGAAGCAGTAGACGAGAGTATCAACGCGTGGAGGACGGCTGAGGCGGGCCATGAGCGGAGAGGAGGTGACTCCAAAGGACGAGAACCAAGGTGTGCAGCAGAGGATGACGGGCGAAAGAGTAGAAAAAGCAGAGGTAACAAAGGAAGGTGGGGAATGAGAGAGAGCCTGTTCTCTTGAATACACACCAACCGATCACTGCCCAAGAAATTCACTGGTTTAGTAAACAAGTTACCAAGCACTTACTAGGAGCCAGGCGCTATCCTAGGACGCAGCCCAGGACAGGCCCCGTGTCCCCGGCAAGGAGCGGGTGGGTGCTATCTACGCCCCGCAGGTGAGCAGGAGGGACAGGAGCTCAGGTCCTCCGGGCTTTCTTCTTTGATCCCTGGAAGGAGCGAGCAAAGCAGAGCCCTAACTGGACTGCGACTTTTAGGTATTATAATGGACTTCAGGCTGAAAGCGGCCAATAAGAATATAAACAAGGGTCAGGGACTTAGTTCAGTGGTTCCAGCACCTGCTTGGCAAGTGCAAGGTCCCGAATTCGATCCCCAATACCAAAAAAAAAAAAAAAAAAAAAAAAAAAAAAAAAAAAAAAAAAAAAAAAAAAAAAAAAAAAAAA